CGGCGGAATAGCGCGAGCTCCAGTGTGGGAAGCAAACCCTTTCTTACGAAACGGGTAGGTTGAATAATGAATAGCTGGAACCCGTAAAGTAGTTGCCACTTACGTGGGTGGCAGTGAACAACACGTATAAAGCATCCAAGCTGAAATTGCCGAAATTGCCAATGCAGGGGCAGCTCCCCTGGGAGCATTGGATGTGTACAGCTATGTTTGCAAAATGCAGGGGCATTTCCCCTTGGAGCTTTGTATATTTACAGCTTGGCTTGTAAAATGCAGGGGCAGCTCTCCCTCGGAGCGTGGTTTGTTTGCAGCTGAGATGGGGAGTGCAACCGAAGATCTCCTTTCGAGCTTGCTTGTTCGCATTTGCTTGTTAGCACCGTAGCTCGGGCACCCAGCAGGTCCTGACTGGCTTCTAGCGCATACTCCCGGCCACATTTATTGCCTGTTGCAGGATAGGGGCCTCACCCCATAATTTTTTTTTGGACGATCGGCGGGCGGGAAGCCGTCATCGACCTAAGAGGCAAAATACAAGAATAACTGAGAAACTAATAATTGTATACAACGCGCCAACCCTTTGGCTCTGTTGTCGGCTCTGCGGGGGGCACCCAGGTATCCCCCTCGTGCGAACACCACCCGTGGAAGCGGAAAAGATGTGACGGCGTATTCAGTAGTGCCCAGCACCAGCAGGACCTGCCAATCAGGGGAAAGCCTAGCAGTCCTTCATGGCAATTCCCTTGGTAGACCCCCTCAAGCTGACACAGGATCTGGCCACCAGGAAGGGACCTGGACGGCAGCTCCAGGTCACCGGAAGGTGGTCAGGGTTGACCCGCAAGAGATGCATGTGCGGTGGAGCCTGTGACTAAACGGCCACCCCTTGGGGCCAGAGAAAGCGGTCTTGAGGGGCAGGTGGTCCTTAGTTGGAGGCTTGCACCGCAAACTATGAATGTGAGACCGTCCGTGCCCGGCGAAGGTGTCCATAGTACCAGGCGGGTAGCTAGTCACACTTGTATCCAACACGACAGCCCTTCGGCTGTTCTCTGCCCGGCTTGGGGCGCCCAGGTATCCCCCCGTGCGAACACTACCCGCGGAAGCTGACAAGTCGTCAGCGTATTCAGTAGTGCCCAGCACCAGCAGGAGCTACCAACCAGGGGAAAGCCTAGCAGTCCTTCATGGCAATGCCCTTGGTAGACGCCCTCAAGCTGACACATGATCTGGCGGCCAGGAAGGTGCCCGGACGGCAGCTCCAGGCCGCCGGAAGGTGGTAAGGGTTGACCCGCAAGAGATACATGTGCGGTTGAGCCTGTGGCTAACGACCACCCCTTGGGGCCAGAGAAAGCGGTCCTTAGTGGCAGGTGGTCCTTGGCTGCAGGCTTGCACTGCACAACCATTATGAATGTGAGACCGTCCGGGCCCGGCGAAGTGGTCGATAGTACCAGACTGGTTGCTCGTCACGGTGGTCTTTAGCTACTGGTTTCACTGTATACCGAATCAGGCGTGCCATCACAGGTCTACAGCGAACAGCACAGAGATCGACGGGACCAAGAATAGGGGATAGCTTGCGGCGAGGCCACCCCCATTATTTTTGGGAGGCACGGCTTCATATTAGAGCAGTAAATTGCAGTTAGGGACTCAGCTGAGTCAAGCTGGACTCAGCGTGTCAAGTTTGGCATAATACAATAAGCGCGCTATCCCCAAACAGTTGTGTGGTTATTGTGTGAGTGTATATGCAGGAGTCCGCGGTCACGTGAGGGGGGAGTGATAAATGGAAGTTTCCGGAGGAGGAAGGAGGAAACTGTAGTTATCACCAACCCTCACCGCGCCCAGCTCACGCCGCTACGGCGTGCGACCTGAGCTGGGCGCCCTGCCCAGTATGGAACTGTCCTCAAGCCAGTCACGTATTTGGCAGCCGAGTGAGCTGTCTACCGGATCGCAGCGTTTAGAAGCGCCAAATGCGGCAGGGCCAGTCTCAGGCTGGTCGCGTAGGCGGCAGGCCGGCGGGCGACCGGCAAGGCTGCATTCGCATTTGGATCACCGAAGTGATACAGGTGCTTCGACGGCACTCCGTGGCGCATCAAGGAGGCATCTGGGGCCCAGGCAGCCCGCCCGTAAGCGCACCACCGTATCAGGTATACGCAGGTGGAGCAGCAGAGCAAGATGTGTGCCGGACACTCACCATCATCCGGTCGACTGCATGGTTGTGCGACTTTACACAGCCGTCACTCATTACTTGCTATTGCTTGCAGAAGGCCAGAATTTTTTTCTTTTTTCGCTCTTTCCCTTCTTCCAGGCACGGCTTCATGTTAGAGCAGTAAATTGCAGTTAGGGACTCAGCTGAGTCAAGCTGGACTCAGCGTGTCAAGTTTGGCATAATACAATAAGCGCGCTATCCCCAAACAGTTGTGTGGTTATTGTGTGAGTGTATATGCAGGAGTTCGCGGTCACGTGAGGGGGGAGTGATAAAGATATTATTATTAATAGAGTTGTCCTGGTACTACAGTCTTGATAGTTACGAATTGTTTCCATTGCCATAGCCAAGGCCATGATAGAGCCATTTGACAGTGGAGATTTTGATGAATGGCCAGAGAGACTGGATTTTTTTCTTTTGTGCAAACGAAATCGGAGTTGTGGCGGCGAATGGCAGTACGGCTGAAAAGACTCGTTGTGAAAAACGGGTATCAGCTTATCTTATCTCTCTTCTGAGTAAAACGGTTTACTCCACACTGAAGAGGGTTTCTCCGTTTTTGGCCACTGTGTAGTGGAGTGGAGATGAAGTCTGCCGGTGGTGGTGGCGGCGGTGGTGGTGGCGGCGGGGAGGAGGAGGACATTGAACCCGGCTGCTGTTGTTGCTGTTGTTGTTTAGTCAGAACACTGGCAGAGGTGCTGTTTCTGCTGCTGTGGCTGCGACTGCTGGTGCTGCCCTCAGAGCTGGTTTCTAAGAACCTCCATGGCCTGCAGTATACGGGCCTTGGCCAGAAGTTGGGCGCTGTCACTGTGGAGAGTGAAGTGGCATCGATGGTCACTCTTGCGGAAGCACGCCCACTTTCTGACAGCCATACACTGCAGGTGTGGACAGGAATGGAGGCGCCCAGAAACTCACTCCTGATTTTGATAAATTGCATGAAGCGGCTCTCAGTGCTCTCTGTGGCGATATTGCCCACATATACCACAGCACGCTTGTTTTGGGTCGTTCTGAGGAGACAAGCTCCCATGAGTCATCCTCAATAACATGGAAGATTGGCTTGGATTCTGTCACATCTGTCTGGGACTTGGTGGGGATGGCATCTTGGTCGCCATCCCCTTCACACTCGTCCCTGCTATGGGAGATGTTGCAAGGGATGCTGCCATCCTCTTCACACTCGTCACCGCTACGGGAAATGTTGCTGGGGACGCTACGGGACATCGTGGTGTCATGCTTTCGAGTACCTGTACCCGCACTGCCTGCTTTGGTACGCCTACGCGAAGGTTGATCCGCACCCGTACCCTGCTGTGTTTGAACTGGCCTTGGTGTAGCTTTTCGCAAGGCAATGACGGATTCTCGGAGAAACACTAACTCTTCATTCACATCTTTGAGCTGCCTTGACAGCTCCTCAACCAGTTTCTTTAGGCACGTCTCCCGATCAGCCGATTCCGAGACAAGTGCGGCCAATGTTTTCCGGATTTCTACTACAGATAACTCAATGCCCGGCAACGACGCCATCAGCCTCAGCTCTTCATCACTCAGGGCAGTCGCGCGAGTGTTTGTTCTCGTGGTGGCCCCAGGCATGGCGGAGGTCACCAATTTCTACGAGCACTACTAGAAAAACTTTCTGCTACCCTACGGAAACTACCTCCAGTCCGGACTGATGCCGGCTGGGCTCTACCAAGAAAGATTTACGGGAGTTTCAAAAAGTGCAACCTACCCCTACTGAACTGAACGGTTGGTCTTAGGAAAGGATTTGCTCCCACACTTAAGCTCGCGCTATTCCGCCGACTTGACTTGACACTTGACTCCGGTGTGGGAGCAAACCATTTCCTAAAAAATCATCGCCGAAGTCGCAACCACTATTTCATAGAGGGGGATTTGTATGCAAAATGTCACTAAAAGCGCCATTTCGTTTTTATGAAAGCACGGATGAAAGCTATTGGCCCATATGTTGTAGTCTTTTGGATGCTGAGTCGATAGGTATTGTTCCAAGAAGGCTGCGATGCAGCGTTTGGCCTTTATTCCCCAATCAAACACGGGTGAGTAAGCGGTCACGTGCTTGTGCGTACACCAGTCACCTGGTCATCGCACATGCAGGCTACACATTTTTGGACACCAAGGTTCAACTCAAGGGTTCAAAGGGGGTTCAACTCGAGTGACAGGGACGCGCCCAAACATGCTGTAAGTTGTAAAGAGCTGAGCTGCTCACTTTGCACCAGATGTACAAGTCATTGCCTGCCTGCTGGTTGTTTCACCTACTGCTTATTCTTCCAGCCACAAACGCCACATCGGAGAGGTCATTCAGTGCACTTCGCAGCCTGTAGACGTTTATTCAATCCACATAAAGCCGTATCAATCATCTTTCTCCAAAGTATGAGAATTCGCATACATCAAGGGGTTATACAAACGATTTCATAGAGATTTTCGAATGGACACACTAGTATACGAGCGCAAATCGGCAGATTTTCGAATATGTACAATATGCGGCGCTGTGCCACGATCACTCACGAATCTGTGACCTCGCCAAAAGCATTTCAACTGACAATGTAATTGTATAACCTGTATAGGTGCACTACATGTACTGGTACATTGTAGTAACTTGATTCGTCATATCATTTTAAGGTAAAAAATGACCCTCCGGACCAGTCAAATATGTGGCAGCTACGGCCCTGGCATACATGATGCCGTGCACTATGTCCACATGCGCACATCAATATTCAGCACATGAGGACAAATGGTTTGGTGTCCTTGAAAATACTTGATGTCACAAGAGTTTGTTGCAAAGCACATTTTATTGGTGCATTCCACCTCCAAAGCTCACCTCCTCATCTTGGACATTAACTGCTATGCCTTTTCTCATCAGCAGCTCACACAGTGCTTTATGTCCACGGACCGCGCAGACATGTAGAAGTGATACTGGGATGCAGTACTATTAGGTCATCATAGCAACAAACACACACATACACACATACACATTCTTACAATCACTTGCAAAGCATACAAGTTCCAGATTTTCCCTTTCTATTGCAGCATAGTACCATACACATGTAATCAAAGTGCAAATGACTTGTTTCCAAAAACACAGCATATCTCATCTTAGTGTTTGTGGTAGAGGACAGGGACATAGTAATTACTGCCTGGAACTTGACGTGAAATCCACAAAAAAACACTTGGATCAGTGGTCCCCATGTACAGAACTCATAACCTCAGATTAGTGATACAAAGAGTACATAACCCCAAGAGTGTGCAACTGCCCACACAACCTTTATCCAGAGCTGCTATGCCAGAACTTCACATCACACGTGATTCAAAAGGTTACGCTGGCAAGCAGTGCAAAGTGACCACAGGAGAGTTGAATCCAAAACAGGGTTGCGTTCAACCCTCTTTCTATAATGCACAGTTTGAACATACTCTGTGCAAGCTCGTCATGTGATGTGAAATCCTGCCATCTCATAATGTGTTACAACAAAGCTGCAGTAGCACACACCTGGGGGTTGTGTACATTTGGGGGAGCTACAGTACTTTTTCCCTTATCGTTCACCTTTACTAACGCATACCCACTGGCCAGTGGTTATGTTGTACTTGGTCCGACTTACTAAAATGTGCGCTTCGTTTCCGAAGCCTACCAAGCAAATCCAAATTATCTCAGGACGGAATAAACTTCCCAGCTACCTAACAGTGTCCTTCAGTTGTTGATTTGTGACATTGAGGAAGGAATGGCTCAAAACTTCAAAGGAGGCAGCCCCTCAAACTGCTAAAAGACTCGTGCGTTTCGAGTTCAAATGCTGTCGTCAGAGGACTCCTGTTGCTTCACCTGCAATACTGAGACGGCCTGGAGCTGATATCAAGACCCCCAATACGATGGAGAATTGTCAAGGAGTACCAGGAACTCCAGGGCCTTCGTTCTTGATTCCCTCCTGACAGATTAAAGTCGCTGCAGCCTCTGGTTCCTGGGCAGTAATTTCTGCAAATGCGTCATCCAGAAACTAGTGCAGCAGCACAATCATCAGGTTGTCCAGCTCTTTGATGTATCTCGCAGTCGTCCACGATGTGGGGGCCGACGACTCAAGATCGCCCAGAAGCTGATCGAAAAAAACAACCACCCCTGGAGTCACCTTTTCCGCTGGCTGGAAAACTGAAATGAACAAACAGTGAAGTTTTCTGCGGATGCGGTTCGTGGATGGTGTGGAGTTCTCGGAGCCGCGAGGCGTTATCGTTGCACCAAGCCAATGCGAAAGCTCCATCTCGTCTCCAGTGACAGTGTACTACTACCGGTAGTGGCCCATTGATTCATACACCAGGGATGAGCGCAGACGGTCGGACTGTATGACACAGACTGTCAGTAAGCGGAACAAGGTGATGAGAAGTAATCTGGTGCGTGGTTGTTTACCTGTTCGCCTCATTTGAAGGTTTCGTGGCAACGTCGGGTGTAAACCCCTATAGCTATTCTGACAGTTGCACTGCACGAGGGAGAGGCGAATGCGATCGTCAAAATATAATGATAGACAAAATCAAGAAATGCAGCGTAGCTTGAAGGAGACAAAAAACTGGCGATGTTTTGCAGGGTGACGCGCTTGCAGATGCGCACAGAGACACCAGCAGCGATGAAAACTAGAAGGTCAGCCCAAGAGACGATACATGGTAGATATCTATCTACCATCTCTTGGTTGAGTTTTTAGTTGGTTTGTATTTGTATTTATGGATCCTCCACAGGCCTTAGCCTAAGTCGAGGGAGTCTCCGTCAACAGCTTATGAAGAAGAAGCTCAGGAGAAAAATAAAATAGGAAATAGAAAGATGCGGGTTGGTAGTAATATAACACACTGCTCTATGACAACGTTACACTACTTGGAATGAAGCCAGAGGGCTCATAACGGATGATAACAAAGTGTGTGCGGACAAGAGCGGTAAAACATTTTGGGCTGGATACAGTACGAATGGCAGCCGGGAGGGAGTTCCATGTGGCAGTGGTGACAAAGAGAAAGGTGGCACACGTGTGTGTGGTGGCTCTAGCAGGTGGGAGTAGATGTTGGGATGCCTGGCGCTGTTTGACACTGAGCAGTCTAGGTCCTCCAGGGTCGTTATCTGGCTATTGATAAGGTGGTGGAGCTCAAGAAGGCACTGAATGTGTCTTCGCCATGCAAGGCTGGGCCACTGGAAGTGCGCGAAAAGTGAGGCTTTCGGCTCCGTTTGAGGAGGGTACACGCCATACTGCCGCAGGATCACACGTGCCACTCTTGCCTGTAGCCGTTCAAGGGTAGTACTAGTAGCCTGAGCACTGGAGAGTTGAAATTGCCAGAGGGATGAGGCGTAGTCAACCACAGGTCGAACATATCCAGTGTACAAGCGGCTGGCTACGGCTGGGGTGATATGCTTGGTCATGTGGATCAACAGGACCGCTCGTTGGCGAAACTGTGTGGTGATGGTGGCGACGTGGTTGGTGAAGTGTTTCTGGTGCTCATTTGTACAAATGATTGAGTTTTGAAGTGAAGTGCACATTTGAACAAGCCGGACAAAGTAGCTCAACTAAAGTAAACCGTGTGTACAGTAAAACCTTCAACTAACGACCACCCCTTGGTGCCAGAAGAAATGGCCTTTAGTGGCATGTGGTCTTAAGTTACAGGTTTGAACCGCGCGACCATAATTCCATGTCTGATATGCATGTCAAAATGCAGCTAATGAAATTTCCCACCACTTGCGCAATGCCATTTCTCCTTTGAGCAGTAGCATCGATCATAGAGCAGGTTAGCGCAATTACTCTCCAAGACGTTTCCTATAATGTTTGCTCATGAGAGCGTGCAGTGCAGCCCATAGTCAAAATGAGATTAATATAAAAAAAATGAGATTTAGTTCATTCATGCAGCTGTAGTATCGAAAGAGTCAATTCAGGGCAAAAATCATCAAAATTTCGAAGAAGGAGCTTCGAACAACCTGCACTGCAGTCGCTAGTTACAGGTCAAAAATCGACTTTGGGACAAGAAAAGGCGGTCGCTGGATGCGTTCAGCAGGTAGTCGCTTATCACAGTGCATTTTGTATATGAGACCGTCCGTGCCTGGCGAAGTGGTGTGTAGCAGCAGGCTGGCTGTTAGTCACGGTGGTCTTTAGTTACAGGTTTTACTCTATTATGGCTTTGAGGCGCAATGTTCACCACGTTTACAAAGAGAGGAACATTCAATTTTCTAGGAACATCTTTGACAGCGAAGTGACGCTGGATGAGCACATGCTCAGTTTATCAGAATAAACAAACCAGTGATCAGAACAAAGAGTTTCACGCCGAGCACTTCGGCCAGTACTCACCTCTCGTGGCTGACTTAAGCGATTGAACATAACCTTGCCGTGCAGGAGCGACGGATCACACCACAGTAAAAACTGGACACAATGAATGCTGCCATAGTAGCATGCTGCCAGCATCAGAAGAGCCTGGGTATGCAAGCGCAAATGCGCCAACGCACAAACAAGCACACAGATACGTACGTACATACATGCACAGACGCACACGCTGACATGCTCACACACACACACACACACACACACACGCACACACACACACACAAACACACACACATATACAGATACATACACACACATAAACACACATACACACACAAAACACACAAACAAACAAAAAAACAAAGATAAAGATACACACATGGTAGCATGTTCAAACACACGTACACACAAACACACAAACCAACACACACAACACACAAACCAACACACACAACACACAAACACACAGACGATTGCATGCTCGCACGTACACGCACACACACGCACGCACACGCACACGCATATTCACTACAACACACAGCAACTTGCGTTACGGGGGAGTGCCGGCCAGTGGAGTGAGAGGCTACGGAAAGAAATACGTAGACACTGCCGGAGCAGAATGTTGGCGGAGCCAAGTATCTACAAGAGTCTGCGTCCGAGGGACGGCGACCGAGGCCCTGAGTAGCCGGAAATGAGCATGGCCAACACCCGTTTATTCACTTTATCAAAGCAAATTAGTGATGAGGTGGGAGGGTGAAACACGATGTGCAAGCAAGAATGATCATCGCACAGAACGGATCGAAATATAATATTATAACAGAGCAAACTCTAGCAAGACATGCAACGATGCATGCCACCCACGTTGAGCGCTACAAGCAAACGTCATCATGACGCCGCCACACACTGCCCACATCGGAGACAAGCGACACGTATGAACGCCACATAGAGAGACACGTTCAATGTCACGTAGAGAGATGAATTCAATATCATGCAGAGTGCCAAGCCCCACAGAGACCATAGCCAGCAGCAAAGCATGGGCATGCAGTAACAGCACTATCAAACATTGCAGCATAGATTGAGCGTTAGCGCAAAGCTGCGTGCACCCATTAATCTGCATTATCACCATAATGCTACTTGGTCCGCATCAGCAATATTGTTGCTTATCTTTCAGCTTTGTTTTTGTGTCGCCAATGCTCACTTGGCAGCCCATTTCATCCCAATTTTCGTTGGCAAGTTAGTTTACTAGTACCTGAAAGGTCTAGCTAGATTTCGAATGGATTTCGAGAGCGACGAGTGGGTGATTCTGATGGATACAGCGCCACATCAAAATAGATTATCTTGTCACACTGCGCAGGCAAGAGCAGCGCGACGCACAAGAAAGTAACCGGCTACTCGGAATTAGTTCCATTTTGCAAAACGGCCGAGATCGCTCACCTCAGGAATCGCTCGCCAATCTGAGATCGCAGTTCTCTCACTTCCAGCTGAACGCTTGGAGTATCCAGCGCGTCGTGGAGATTTGCAAGTACTGTAGCCATCGTCGTAGTTCAAAATAAGTCTTTCAAAAGAACGGCGACTGATTTGAACCACACAGGCAGTCGTGCTGCCCACGCAAAGTCCTATAGAGAAGGCGACGGTCACGGTCGACTTCCCTTTAGAAAATAGCCAGGCAGCGGAGAGGAAGAGAGATGAACTTGCGAAAGCGAGAGTGTCGATCACGAGCAAAAAATATTTGTCACCAGCGCCGAGAGCAGCGATGAGGAGGTCCAAAAAAGTATGAACCCTTCCTTGGACAATAAATTCCTCATGGACAGTTGTCATTCTGTACCTTACCTTCCATCGTACCAAGTTCTATCGTCTCAAGTGCACGCGTTGATGTCCAAAGTCTCAGTTCAAATTGTCGAATAATAAGCGACAATATTGCTGACGAGGACCAAGTACATTTAAAACTACAACACACAGCAACTTGCGGTATGGGGAGTGCCGGCCAGCGGAGTGAGAGGCTACGGAAAGAAATACGTAGACACTGCCGGAGCAGAATTGTTGGCGGAGCCAAGTATCTACGAGAGAGGATTCAGGATTGGCCGGATAGACACTGCCGGAGCAGAATGTTGGCGGAGCCAAGTATCTACAAGAGTCTGCGTCCGAGGGACGGCGATCGAGGCCCTGAGTAGCCGGAAATGAGCGTGGCCCATAATGGCCGGCAATTCCCGCACCGAAGAAGCCACGAGCCCAGTTGTGCAAGCAGCAGGGGAGAGAGAGGTCGCCCAGAGTGGAAGGTAAGAAGTAAGGTAGAGGCAATAATGGATCGTGCATTGACTCAGCAAGAAATATAGAATTAATGAGGCAATCGCCAAGAGTCCATGCAACACACGCGTGAATACAGGGCACGTCACGCAGTTAAATAGGCCCAATGTGAAGAGCCATAGAAAGACAGCAGGTCCGTCGGATCAGTGCGAATGTACCTCAGAACACAGTCACTTTGCATCCTACCCATAGCACGTATTTTCCACACAGGAACACCGTTTGCAGCAGCCGTTGTCGCCGCACCAATCCTAAAGGAGTGGCCACTATAATCAGCCACATTACTCACCCCGGACAACTGCAGGAGGGCTCTCAGTTTGGCAGTGAGGCGACGGCGAGTCAGCGGTGTGCCTGACTTGAACCGGAACAAGGGCTGCAACACCGGCGGCTTACTGCGTGACAAGTAGTCGACCATGGCAACAACGGGACAATATTGTGGCGTTGCTGGCCCGATGTATAGGGTCATGCCTCTGGCGAACGGGTCCGTCTTGGACCGCTTCATGACAAACTGTAATGCGGGCACCGGCAGCATCGGCACCGGCAGCATCAAATGTCAGGTCAAACGGTGCGTGGTCGCTTACAGTAAACTCAGCGCACCGCAGGAAGCCGTGGAACGCCAACAGGATTGCGGCTTGCAGCATTACACGATCATCTGAAGTAGAAGTTGAGTCATTCCGCAACCGGTCCACAACAGACCGGATCAGATCACTTGTCAGTGGAAGACGAGTCAAGGACGGAGCAGTGCCCTTCACTCTCTTAATGCCCTTGAGCACGCGCGGTAGCAGGGTAGCGCCTGTCCAAGATCGTCCATGCCACATTTCAGATGCAGATTACGAACGGCCGAAATGTAATTGGACGAGGGCCACCACAGGTGGAGACTTTGATGTGCCCGAAGCCAAGCAATCAACCACGGCCTGACTGTCGCAGTGGAATGCTATGCGAAGCCTGCACCACATGTGTCCCCACGTGGCACACGCGACGAGAATAGGAAACAGTTCCTTGTACTCAATGGACAAGTCCATGGTGTCTTGCTCCCAGCGGCTGTGCATCCACCTGCCCTCGTTGGCATAATAGGCGCCCCATCCAAGGGTGCCACCAGCATCAGTGTATACTTGAAGTAGATCTAAGTCGGTACTGGAAGTCTCGGCTTGGTAAAGGAAGAACGACTTGCCATTCCAACTAGCTAAGAACTCCTGCCACCACAGAAGGTCCTTACGACAGTCGCTGCTCAAGGTAATGCGGTAATGCCGAGGTACCTTGCTGAACTTCTTAGCGGTGTCCCATAACCTGCGCATAAACGTGCGGCCCGGCACAATAACCTGCGCAGCAAAAGTGAGCTTGCCCAAAAGAGAGACGAACTTTGCTGCGGGATGGAGCGAGTTGAGCTAGCATCGAGAACGAGTTGTTTTATATCTGCTAGCTTATCATCATTCTGGTAGCCGAGCTTCGAACCGGTCGGAATTCAACGTGATGCCAAGGAATGTCAACTCCGTCACAGGGCCCTCCAGCTCCTCCAAGGCCAGGGGAACGCCGAGGTAGATAAAGGCTTCTTCAATAATAGAGTGTTGCTTAGATGCGAGGGACAAGGAAGGCGCAGGCACCGAGATGTTGTACATGTGGCTGCGCTTGTGTCTCTTCGTTGTACATGCGGTTGCACGTGTAGCTCTTTGTCGTACATGTGGCTGCTTTTGTGTCTCTTTGTTGTACATGCTGCTGAGTCGTGGTACATGCTGCTGCGCTGTTTTTGACTCCTGCGTACATGCGGCTGCACCGTCTTCTGTCCCCTTCAATCTAATATATTCTGTTGTCTAGTCTTGTCTCAGTGTCAGTCGTCAGTCGTTCGTTGTCAGTGTTGGTTCTTCTTTATGAGTTCCCCAGTCGCCTACTGAAATGAAGTAGAAGAAAAAGATCTCTAACAATTTGTACTGGTCCTTTGTTGTGTGGCGTGGCGAGGAGCGTGGAGGCAGTTCGTTCACGGTTCTCAAACCCGTGACGACATTTGGCGCCCAACAAATCGTGTCCACGACCCTGAGTTCGTCTCCATATCAGCTGTGTTTTCGTCTCCTCTTCGTGTTCTCGCCATGGCCCAGCTACTTGAGTCTCACGAACGTCCAAGCCTCTCATGAGAGCGCCTACTCAGGTGAGAATGCCTTTGTAATTGTCTACTCTGCGTAATGTGTTGCCGTAACTTGTATTCGATTTCGATTTTTTTCAAATTGTTTTGCGTTGGGTGACTCTGACTCGGGTCCCGGCAGGAGGTCCGTGGAACCTTGTTCTCTTGTGCTCGAGTGTGTAGTGTAGTCTAGCTGCTCGTTGTAAGTTCGCCCCGTTCTGTTCGTTGTTCCTGTGTCGCTCTGACTAGTAGATCGACTACCCTGTACCGTACGGTTGTGTGTATGAAAATTTCAAACTTCTGTTTGTGTGCTTCGCGTTCGAATCTGGAACTTGTTTTTGCTTGCTCATCGTGAATTCAGCATGGGTAGCTTTGATCTCGTCTTGTGTTGTGCACTTGTGCTTGTCACGGAGACCGAGTTGCCGTCGGACTGCTCCGATATTGTGACTGTGTCGCGTGATTTGTTTGGATGTCCACCTGAACGTTCTCGAGGTGCTGCCTCGTTTGTAGTCGATCCATATTTTGTTTCGTGTTTCTACCGTTTCTCTAGTGCTAGAAGTAGAAGTAGTAGTCGTAGTAGTAGTTTCTCCATGTTCCGTGCAGAGCGTTGTCAGGCTCGGTCATGCACTGTGCACCCAGTCGGAAAGCTGGTGGCTTCCGGTTTGGTGGGAGGTGTGAACTTCATGTAGGATTCTCGTTTCGGATCCAGGTTGAATTTTTTTTGTGAGCGTATGGT